CAAGCGGGGTGAATGCAGCTTTTGCAAATTCTACACACACACACACTGAATGAATGACAGCGAGGCAGAACGGTGGTCTTATAGCATAGCAAACCCAAAACCCAAACTGACAAAACCTGTAAAAACAAAGCCATCTCACGCAGTCAAGGACACACAATTCTGCAAACTTTACACGGGAGACGTCAAAGAAACAAAAATCAGCCAAAGCAAAGGAACAGAGAAAGAAATCTTTCAGAATTTTTACATTGAGATTGTGATTGTTGTTGACAGGCTAGAATGCAAATATTGAGTCTCAACTAATGTAATTTCAATGCGGACCAAAGCAGTAAGTTAACGTTTTCTTTACTCCTCTGTTACAGTAAACTGAATATTTTTGAGTTTTGGACAAAACAAGACATTTGCGGGCGCCATCTTGTGCCACTGGAAACACACTTTTGCTATTTTCTGGCATTTAAGTGACCAAACAACTCATTGGTTAATCGAGAAAATGATTGAGAGATTAACCGACAATAAGAATAATCATTAGTTACAGCTGTATTGACCATTCAGTGAAGATTATAGAGGAACTCTGAAGGTAGAAAAACTGCAAAGTCTGTATCGGCCGATGTGTGACAGCGTTTTTTTCTGTGTGTGTGTGTGAAGAGATGAATTAATATATTGGAGTTAAACTTTGCAAGAACATGCTTAAAACTCAACATGCTAAAGTCAAGGCTTTGGCTGGGTCCCGAAAACATTCAGTTTGGATTCTTCAAAGCTAAATCAGTAATCAGTACAGAGCGTGCTGATTGTAAAGACTGTAGAACCAATCATCAGTATCGGTTCTTATCGCACTGATTGCCGAAGAGCATCCATACCCATTGCTTTGGTCTATTAATTAGAGGGAAACCTCTCACTGTGGCTGTCGCTGGCAGGAAATCGCCGCACAGAACCGAATTTCCAAAAATATTTCTCAACAGGAACGCAGACCTACTCAAACAGATGTGTGCAAAGTCATACAATCAATCCTGCTCGCAATTACTGGGCTCCAAACTCTAGGTGTCATTTTTTTTTTTTTAATTTAAAATGAAAACATGCTGTGGTACAGGGTAAGAACATTTTGTAAGGATCTGGATGAGCAGGACGCAGGACCTGCAACTTTAGGCATGTAAAGAAAACATTGCATTCCACTGTGACATACGTGGATTTTCCATCTATGGCACAAAAACAACCCAAAACAATAGTGTCATTATCATAGACTGTATAAAAGATGGACGTAGCAACCGGGCCCGAAAAATGAAACCAACCTGGAAGTGTCAAAAACCTGCAGTATCACTACGTCCACTAGTTGCTGGCTCCAAAAAGCCCTGGCTTAGACTTGCATAGAAATACCGCATTCCTACAGCTCAGGATTTTTTTCTTATTAGTTTTCATAGTCAAATCCAGAGATCAGGTGACCAATCTAAAAATAAATAAAAATTGAATTTTTTAAAAATCATCAACATTTTGCGGGGCAAGGGGCGTGGCTGGCTTGATTGACAGTCGGCAGCGACCATACAGATGAAGCGAGCAGAAGGCGGTAAATGGGGGCGGGGCAGAGAGGACCCGCCTCTCAATCCATCTGACCAATCGCTGCTCCTATGGCTCCGCCCCCCTCCGACGATTTTTGCGTCACTGGCTCCAAAAATCCAAGATGTCAACCAGGAAGTAGCAAAACCCTGGCTTCATTTTCTCAGTGCAGAAACCAACGGGTGACGTCACGGTAGCTACGTCCATCTTTTATACAGTCTATGGTCATTATCAGTGGCAAACACAGGCAAGAACAATTCCACCAATTGAAAGACTTGCTTAATTATTCCCAGAATAAAAGAATGCACTGCAGATCCATATCACGGTCACCACATTTCTTCTGTATGGTACGGTGTTATTTCTTGAGTGTTTCCAAGTGACAAAAAAATCCCGCTACCGCCTCAGAGTGTGTGATCTGGCATACAGGAGGCCTGAATGAAAACCTAAACACCTCATATGTCACTAAAACCTTACACAGAGCCCCTTGTTAAGAAACGCTGAAAACCGATCCCAGGTTTTTGATGTCTGCCTCTGACAACACGCACACACACACACGGCTCGTGCATCACTACAACAGTTTCTGTACAAGCACTGACACAAATTGCCCAGGGGTAGAGCAAATCCTGACCTGTTTTATAGAAACAAAGGGATCAAATTAAAATGTTCCCACTGAGTGAGCAGAGTACACAAATATGCCCCCATGGAGTGGCAGCACCTGCTACGCTCTGCTCCCAGCAACCTCCCCAGCCCACCCCACCTCCTCATTTCTCTGAACCATGTTTAGCACCACTGTAGCATCTCTATCAGCTCGACCACCACCTGACCAGAGACACTATCGGGCACTCATCAGCACGGCTGGCGGGTTTCAAGAACTGACGCAGCCATTAATTAACTGTTCTCTGGCTAAACTCCTCCCTCTGTTTATTCGTAGTTAAGCAGATGTAACCAGGCACGACATACCTGACTTGTTTCCCTGTAGATTGTTCTCACGTGTCAGACTGCAGGAGGATGTACAGGGCCTTTTTTTTTCCTTTTAATTGCCTTTCCAAAGCCGTGAGTGTATGACTAAAAGTGTAAGGAATGAATTTAACAGTGTGTTTTTCTGCTCTAGCCTCTGGTGTAATCGTTATCATGCCAGGCTATCGGGCTTGCCATCTACATTAGTAATGAGCCACGAGTGTTACTTCCAAATGAGCACATTATTAACTACTTGTGTTTGCCGCAACAAAACAAAATAAACGAATAAATAAATAAAAAATTGAACAGTAGCTGATAAAGAAAATAAATAAATACAGGTACTTTACTTGTGGGGTTTGAAACTTCAAAAAGAGCCGTGACGGAGTCTTCTACTCAACGGGGAAAGAAAAGTACCACAAAATCCTCTTTAACTAAACAGTTACTGCTCAATTCTGAGACTTCATTGCCATAGTAACGAAGGTGCTGGAAGAGGCTGTCCTTTCACAAAGGGCATTTAGCCAGAAGGTGTTGTGGTTAATTGAGGAAGTCTCTCTCAGACTGCCGAGGGTCAACCTCTTCACCTCTGAGTCAGCTCGGCGCACACAAAAACAATCCGCCGCCCGTATGTGTGTGTGTGCATCATTAACCCTTTCAAACAGGAGCACTGAAGCGAGCTCCTCAGGACAACGCACTAAAAGGCACTCTATTTTCCTTAATCTCGCTCCTCCTTTTCCGTTCTATATATAGACATATCACCAAGGGCTCTGCGGAGCTCCATAGAATATGGAAGACAAGACAGAAAAGGAGAAGGTTGATGAATACGAACAGGACACAGAGAGAGACGGGGGGTACTTCATTCATTAATCCATCCAGCTGCACGCTCTCCTAGACATTCAAAAGTTTAACGAACACGTCGTTCGCGAGCGGCGGATTTACTGTCTGACTGTACGCAACATTAAAGGCCGAGAAGCAGACGAGAGCTTAAAAAAAAAAAAAACAAGAAAAAAGTGTTTTTCACAGCTACTCCATGTGGCCTGCATTATTGATGGGCTTAGCCTAATCCACTGTGAGTACATGTGCAGCCACATCATGACACAACCCATGTTTTCGGGGGTGATACACACACAGCGAACTGCTATGACGTGAACCTTTGTGCCCGTTCCTGTGCATATGCTCTGCTCAGGATAGTGTTGGGAAAAGCACACGGTGGCTGCACTCGCGCACACAGCTGCCCGCTATAGCCGTACCCTCAGGCAACACGGCTTTTTCTCCAGTACACTGGAGACCCACTAAAAAGCTCACATGAAGGCAATGGCAGGTACACTTCTGTCTAGAGTGTAAGCATCTGAGAAAGGTGAGGAGCAGAAGAATCGTTTCTAAATGCTTGCCAAACCTGCCGTTTGATGCTAAATGGATTGAGTGAAAAGGTAACATACGTCTAGTAGGAAAACAAGCACATGCTGTGTGAATGGACAAAGTGAAAAGTACCTTCTGAAACAGCGCTGGTGTTTTTCTACATGTACGGTCGCAGTTCTCTGTGAACCTACCAGAGATTATTTGAATTATTTATCAGCCTGCTCAATTCACATACTAACTGTTTGGTCTATAAAATATTAAAAATAAAAAAATAGTACCATTCACAATTTCTCACACGCTGATGTCTTCAATTTGTCTAAATCCCAAAATATTCCATAACGAAGGAAAGACTGTCATTTTTCAGAGGCTGAAACCAGGAAAACTAGAACACACTGATTATCGATAGCTGCAGATTAATTATCTGTCAGCTGACTAATTGACAAACTCGCTCTCTAAAATCTACATTGAGCTGTTGTTTTTCAAGGTCAGGAAAATCCTATTCAGTGCCATTAGGGTTTCACACATGCTAGCCCTTTCACTTCACTTTCATTTATCAAAATCATTCATCGCTGCATTTTATATTTGCAGAAATGTCTCTAACCAGTTCAAAAATTCAGGTTCACAATGATGTTGGCAACACTCAAGTAGGACTGACCAGAATTCTTCAATGCCTTCGTCAGTGCATCCAAACCATCATTTGAATGCTTTTATATTTATATGTGCATTACAATGCTACGAAAAACTGGAACAACAGTTTCACACTTCTACAACCGTTTTAGCAAATGACCTGAAAACGGGAAGTAACAGCGCAATCGCCTTCGACTTACACACTGAGGCCAGTGTTACACTTTCTCAATCTGCGAACACATCATGATCTGCTCCCATTCAACTTACAGGAAATCCCGTCAACTGCCCAAAATTTGTGTCCACGCAGCAGTCGCACTGCAAGAGCAGTGGTGCGTATGCACAGAATACACAGACGGTGATCAGCTGGGCATGGACGGAGCACTTCCTCCGAGCAGACTCCACGAAGACGAGGAAGTAATAGAATAACAACATCTGTGTATCTGTGCCTGTCAACATATGTGCATGTGCACGTCCACAAGGGACTGAAATCTAGGTTAAAATGCGAGTTTACCAACCGTGTTGTTGTAGGTGCATCCATCATCTCTCACGAAAGCTTCGAAGGCCAAAAAACAGTGTTTGGGACGGTCCTACAGTTTAGTAAATTCTCCTGCTCGTAAACTAAACAAATCAACAAACAAAACAAAGGAATAAACTTTTACATTGAAATATTTGGTTCATACTGATTTGGTGAAAACTGATGATCCATGATGCCGTAGCTAATGAAGGATTACACTTAAAATCATTTTCCTTGATGACTTTACAAGAAATTTCATTTTTAAAATCTCTCAAAATACCATAAAACTGTTACAGGAACAAACTTGGGTAGATACAGCAGATAGATGCAGATTTAGCTGCTTGACAGACAATAAAAATGTCAATAACCAGCATTTACAAATATGAACCTTTACTGTAATTACAATGCTTCCCTTCCTCACTCAGCAATACCACTAAACTACCTTACGCCACTGCACGCAACACCACCTACTCTGCTGGAGAAGCGATGCGGCTACAGAGCTGTGGCTGAGGAAAGAAGCCCGTAGCTATGAACGAGTGAAACCATTTAAATGTGATGTACAGCTGAGCGAGAGCATAAATATTCAGCCAAACGCACACAGCAGCAAAGGTTATGGAACATAAATAAACATTCTGACCCATCCACAAGCCAAACACTTTTTTGTTTCTCATGATACTATTGCATAACATAGTCTCGCTATATTTAGCCGTATTCATTCACATCACCTCATTTCGATGCTGCTTCATGACAGCGTTCGGTGCAAAGATTCCAACAGAACAACCAAAATGGTAATGGCAGATCAGTCATACACCCAAACAACATGGTGTCACAAGCAGGGACGCACACAACGCTCAACCCTGCAGGAACACTTTTCTCAAGATGCAAATATTTTATCTGCAAATATGCTGTGCCATATGCTTGTTATTTCTACATCAACAGATCAGCGTGCAAACCTGCATTTCTTCCTGATGCAACTTTGGCATTTAATGAAAAATGACAAACATCGTTACACGGATTCGCAAAAGAACAAACAGCGATGATTGCATCTGATGCCTGTCGATAATTTTGTACGTGAGCCTTTCTCGTAATGAGCGGTCCAGTCAACTATGACCAGCCGCAGTCCTGGTGGCTGCACGGAGGCCTCGTCCTGCCCTTTGTAGTGCCACTAACATGCCTGTGTGTACGGCATCGACTGTAATGTCACATTCACGCTCTGATGCTAACCGTGTCTGGCATGTGCATTAGCCCTTTCTTTTATTTTCACTGAGAACTCATCTCCAGCGAACGCAAAAAAGAGGTTACAAAAATCCTTTAGAAAAGGTGCAGACTGTCCTAAAGTTCAACTGGAAGCCGTCCGTGCACACTCGCAACCGTACATACCCCAACACCTCACCTTTAAAGGTTACTGCTCTGCTGAGAGTAAATAGTATTGTAAATTATGCATTTCGAAGTGTGCTGCAATCTTAACGCACGCTGGATGAATAATGGCCGCGACCTACGGCTTTCGACTCGCCGCGATTTTGTGATGGGGTGACGGAGCGGCATTGATGTGGCGCCCCTCAGGGTAGTACAGAATGTCTCAGTCATACAGGCCGGGGTCACGCTGCTGTATTTGCACGACCCCTACCACGGACCACCATCACTTCAGCCTGTTGTCATTTGATGAAACGTGCCCATCGCTGGACCAGAGAATCCGATACAGACAAATCCCCTGTTTAGGCTTCTGTTCCTTATGTTGAAAATTACTTTGGCACAAAGTCCGGGCCTGCTTGGCCTAGTTTGGTGGTTTGATGTAGCTCCATAGTGGATTATGGCGTGAAGACAGAGGTCTGAAGCAGGACGGTCTGACCTTTCCGACATCAGACAGGAGTGTCTGTGCCGCCCATTATTCACATTGTCACTGACACCCTTTTTACGCTGGCCAGCTGTGTGGAGGTGAGGGTTGGGGTTTCTGCTTCTATCTCTCACTCTTTTTTTTTTTCTAATTCGTTACTTAACTATTTGTGGCACTTAACATTTTCACAATGTAATGCAACACTAGCAGCGTCTGAATGGAGAGCTCATGTGAAAATGTTTACCATTATCGCCATTTACAAATGAGCTGATGCATCCTGCTCTGTGCCGGTCGGATTTTCACTCAAAACGACTGTAAAGACATTTTCTTTCTGACGCGGTCGGAGAGCGTGTCTTAAGAAGCAATTCCGAGCGACCATACCCTGACCCCAATTCCCATGTGATCCACAAAATGCTGAGAGTGCTTGAGACCGTAAGGTGGAACGGGTGAACGCATCTGCGCATGAAGCATTTTTTGTTTTTTTTTTTTTTTCTCTGAAATGCAAAGTGCACTTAACGTGCTATGCCTTGCAGGTCAAGGGGAACTTAGAGGAAGAAATAAGCTGCTTTAGTACATTTTGCTCTGACAAATGGCACGGCGAGGAGCTACAGCGGGTTTTTCGACTAAAGCGTATCGTAAAGGTTTCGCTATTTATACCAAAACTATGCCACTGCATTAGCACTATTGTGGAAAAAGTAAATCTTGTCCTGAATTAACCTGAAGCTAACGATGCTACAGTACGATGGGAGCACAAAGCCTTACAGATGGCCCAAACCATCATTACATCTGTGCAAGACACCATAAATAAATTTAGACTCTTTCTAATTTGTAATTCAAATTAATGAGAGGCAGCCAGTAACAATAACGTAAAAGCGTCATAACATGGATCTTCATACGCTGTGCACACAAGTATGACTTTTAGGTGAAAAGACGCAGTAAAATAATTAATACCACCCATTTCATGCCTCTTCAAGGAGTCTCTCTGGCACTGTGAGCTAGTAGTTAGCAACAGTAGCCCTGAGCAAACATTATCTATTAAAAGTATGTTGCGCACAGGGTGATTCATTGATTGAAACTGGCCGCTCATGTAAAATTAAGTCAAAAATCAATTTCAATTCTAATTTGAACTGGGCGAGGTACATTTCTGACAGCTGCAGTCGGGCTGCAAGGTCGTCTGCGGTCTCATTATTCTGGCAAAATGTGAAACAGACATGGAATAAATGGCACGCACTGTATTTATATTCTGAATGTCAAAGCGAGCAGAAGTAAACGCTTTTTAAAGCCTCTCGATTAACCGCAGAGATCACCGTCACATAAAAAAATAAAAAACAGTAACATGTCAAAGTGTGATAAATGAGAAATAACACTGTAATGTATTTTCTGTCCTGCTTCAGTGCACAAATATGGGGGGCACACGAACGCAGAGTCCAAAACGCACAATACGCAGGTACATTTTCCATTTGGCGAGTAAATCTGGGAAGGTTATCCAACAACTGATCGATTTCAAATCAAAGTCTCAATTTAAAACGACGCAATTAGCAAATCGCAGCGGCTGCAATTTGGGATATGCAAGTTGTGGCTGTTAAATAATGTGACAAATGCTGTAATTCGGTTTTATCTTATTACAGCGGACTGAAACTTTCTCTCCTCGTCAAACGTACGCTACACGGTTCGGGCCGTGGTTCAACAGGCACAAGCGAACGCCATTATTTTTTCCGACTCGTATTCTACCCACTCTGCCTTTGGCTCTGACCCTGACATCATTGTGTGACCCTAACCAGGCAAAGAACACAAACCAAACAGAGGCAGGTCTTCACAGAATACAGATAACCATCACTTGCGTGGAGAGTGAGGAGTCTGATGAGGAGGTTTAATTAAAATGGTTAAGCTGCAATAAAAAAAAAATATCTAATTTACTTTTATGGCTGATCTTTATCATTATTATTTAATAGTTAATACAGTCAGAAGAATTCTGAGACCAAGACTTGTTGGGCTGAACTGATTAACTGTTCACCAATATATTGAAAATAACTTTTGCTTCAGTTTTGCATTCAGCATCGTACCTTATTATCTTAATGAAACGTACTGAAACTAATGCATATGTGACACAAAAAGGCGACTCATTATATTGGCCAGGGGGGAAAAAAAATATGCCCCTTAGTCAGTGAGTCAAAAAGTTAATTTCAGATACTGAGGGATGGCTGGAAACACAACTTTAAAAAAAAATAAGGGCCGCTGCAGTGGGAGGTGGGCCGGGGTTGTCCTGTACGGTAATGATTCATGTCTAGTCTTACCGTACGGGTGAATTTAAGGAAGAGCAGGAAAGCGATGTCATGTTAGGACCAAAACAAATCTAAATGGAATTGCTATCAGAAAATAGCAGAGCAGCCACCAGATAAGAGAAGAAGCGAGCACACCCCAGTGCATGTGTGTGTGTGTGTGTGGTGTGTGTGTGTGTGTGTGTGCGACGATGTGGCTGCAACCCGGAAAGCCAGGTACGCCGGCTGTCACGGACGAGTCAGGTAAACCAGTCAGCCGTGAACACAACCGTGAGCGTTCAGTTCGAGCAGCTCTAAAATACGTCCAATTTCACCTCGATTTTCCTGTTTTTAGCAAACATATCTAAAAGCAATCTCGGCTAAATGTTTTTGCTCCGCATAAACAACGGAGCTGCGATAAACAGATAAATTTAATAAGAGCAAACGGGGAGAAATCTGAACTCCTATCTAGTAATTACTGGATGCAAATTATTGTAATCTCAGGTTTATCAGTCAAGTGTATCAAATGAGTTTCTGTTAACAAGTTATTACTCAGGCGGTCTCCTGCAAATGTACATCGTGTACGTTTGTTACGGTGCACACTGGAGAGCTCCCACAGTTCAGGTTTTAATCTGTGGTGCCAGTTCACTCATATTTAGTTCATACATAATAAAGTCTGTAGTTCTAATAATTTATCTGATGTACAGTCGTCCTCAGATTTATTCATACGCTCCCATTAAAGAAGGAAAAGAAACAGCTGTCACTGATAATAAAAAAAAATGTAATGAAAATCATGACATTGCTTTTGAATTGTGGTTCAACAGAAATTAAATTAAATTAAAAACAAAAACAAGCAAACAAGCATGATGGGACCTGTACATTAATATTTTGTTGAGCAACCCTTTGAGCCAATCACTGCCATCAGGTGTTTTCTGTAACTCTCAATCAGACTTCTGCACCTGTTGACAGGTGTTTGGATTTTGGCCACTGCTCATCAGCAAAGTGCTCTAATTTGTACAGGACAGTTATTATTTTTTTTTTTTTTTTCAACCACAATGCAAAAATAATTTCTTATGTCACTAAATTACAATTTAGCAAATTTTTATTTATTATTACTTTCTCAGTTTCTAGCTATTTGAATGACTTATTGTGAATTTTGACTTTTCTTTAATGGAAGGGTATGAATACAACTGTATGTGTTGTGAATGCCCATCATTAAGGTTTATTGAAGAAAGAGCAATGATGAGCTGCTCTTCCATTCGGATGTGGTTGAAGTGGTAGGAACCAAAGTCGTGGACTTAGTTTAATTGTGGTAAACATTTTAAGGAACTCTGGGATGTTGTCAATCAACAGTAAGCTCCCATTGGTAGTCACCACACCCGCATCACGGCGGGTGGTAGAGCGGGTTGTACTCTAATCGCAAGGTTGGCGGTTCGATCCCCTGCCCCTCCACAGTCGGAAGTGTCCTTGGGCAAGACACTGAAACCGAAGTTGCTCCCAATGGCAGGCAGCACCTTGCATGGCAGCTCTGTCGCCATTGGTGTATGAATGTGTGTGTGAATGGGTGAATGAGAAACATTGTAAAGCGCTTTGAGTGCCGCAAAGGTAGAAAAGCGCTATATAAGTGCAGACCATTTACCATTTACCATCACCTACAGCTGTAATTAGCTGAACTCGCCATCACTTCCACGGTCTCTGGTCTCTTCCTGTACGTCCTCCACTTTACTCCTCCTTTCAGATTACACTTGTAAAAACTCCTTCAAACTAAGTTGTTGTTCAGAAGACTTTTTTTGGCTGCAAACAAACTGCCTGCTCCGTTGGATTTGGATGGTTTTACCAAGTCCGTGACTGCTCCGTGCCTCCTCCACAACAGACCCAGCAGATCTTCTCGCTAGAACTTCGACCTCTACGAGAGCACTGTTGGCTCGCACTGTCAAGCCTGTCATTTACAGCTTAAGGCATCTTTACTCTCAACTCGTGTCAAAAGAACTTTTCTTATATTTGGTGAACTCAAAGCAGAAGAGCCAGGGAGGGACTCGCTTGGTCCGTGAAAGTCATCGTCTCCAGACGCAGCGAGGGGAATTTAAAACTCCATCCATCACCAATAACGTCTCCCAACGTCCACACAGTGTTCTGCTTATCCAAGTCGAGCACGTTCAGGCAGGGACTAAGAATAACTAAACGTTCCACTGACCATCACAAGAGGTCTTTCCTTCCTGTGCCCATCCAGTTGTACAGTTCCTACTCTTTTTGCTCAAGAGGTATAAATATACAACTTCCACGATTCTAAGCAGACATAACACGGCGATTTCCCTGTGGGGACTAATAAAGTTTTTCTGATTCTAAAAAAAAAAAAATGCCAGCTGCTGTTGACTTAAATCAATAACCAAGCGAGACAGAAGAAAACAGGATGCCTGGCGTGTTTCAGGAAAAGTGCACAGGACAAAGGATGAATAGTAGTAAAAGCCTGATAAGGAGAAGCAGGGAAGTTAAGAGCAGCCCCCTCCATTAAGAGGACGTATTCATTTCAAACAGCTCCAAATGCTTTTAGACTAAAAATATCTGAAACAATGTTCAATCGCACAATGAGGAAATCCCCCCCTTGTAATTAGAACACTGTTATCTGGAGAACCATTTATCTCCCTGCAGACAGGCAGCCTCTTTTCGTTTACACTAGTATTTATAAAATTGTTCGTGACACATTGTATAATCACCCTTAAACTAAAAGAAGTCGGGTTAACTTAACTTTGTCAGATCAATCCAGCAATGAGACTGATGTGTTTCCGCAGCGCTAACACTCTCCTGCCGGGCAAAGTGAATATATTCAGGAGGACATCCAGAGGGACTCAGTTTTCATCCAGCCTATGCATTCAAATACTTTCCTTGCAAACAATTACTAGCCAGTCTAGCAGGTGCTTCTCTCAGTAAGGGGACAATTTGCCCAGATTTGGTGCTTGGCTGGTTTAGTTGTACTGCAAAAAAACCCCAGAATTCGTGGGAGTGTGGCTTTTAATAAAACACCAAAGTAGTTTATAGAAGGGAGACAACATGTTGTTTCTCTGAGTCCTCGTTTACAGCTATAGAGCTCATGTTTAAAACATCCATCATGTATTCAGCGTAGGCTTAGAACTGCTGAAGGTGAACTAGAAGAAGAGGAAAAAGTGTCATATGCGGCAGCTTTTCTCAACTGAGCCCCTGTGGTTTTCTTCAAATGTGTATCCTCATCAGCACCCACGAGCCCGCAACTCCTGAGGAAACGCATTGTCTTTTTATAGTGCCGTAGCCCCACGACGAGCTTCATCAGGGCTCATGCAACAACATCCACGGGGCAGGGAGCGTATGGATCGATGGCAGAGGTTGCTATGTCCACATGGGGCTGTGTGAAGGTGATGGGTAACCTCCTCTGTTGCTTCTGGGTTTGCATTACAGGAGAAAAGAAAGGAGAGTACGCTCACAGACAGCCACGATTTATTAGCGCAAGTAGCAGCAGCCTCATTCTGCTGCTGCTGCTGCTGCTGCTGCATGGGCCCACTTACACAGAGCCAGCGCAGCATCTCCGCTGCATGCAGCTTTCCTAAGAGGGCACAATGCAGCAGAACTTTGCTCGCATACACTTGCACACAGTTAGCCACGTGGTCAGTTTGGTACAGCAGCCTCAGTGCCTGGCCTAAGCTTTTTTTTTTTTTTTTTTTCCTCTCCTCTTTAAACTTGTCACCTCAGCAAGTGGAGCAGTACTGCAGCAGTTTTTGCGAAACGTACAGTAAGGCCTCATGCGCTCGGCCCTTCAACACCGCTTTGATCAGTATTTGCTAAGGTTGCCCCGCGAGTGCCCTCTTTTAGCTGACTGCTGCAGCCGGATTTTGCAAAAAAAAAAAAAAACCTCAATTACTCCCTTTAACTCAGCAAATCAGCGAAATTGCCTTTCCCCACGCAGCTGCAAATAGATTCCACATCATTTCTTTAAACAAAAACAAGTGTTTGTCAGCAAAAAAAGGCTTCTCCTGCGTTGCTGTTCAACCTGTGCTGCATTGTTTTAAGGAAAATGTGAGTCATGTAAAACCAAATCTGGCAAACCACCACTAATATACCTTTGGGAAGCGGGTACCTTTAAAGGGCAAAACCACTTGGCTCAAGATAAATGTTTGCACTGTCGCTGGTATGTTCCCTATATATGAATGAATATAACCACAAACCAGACACTCACTTGAGCTGTCTTTGTTCGGGGCAAAACTGAAGCAGCGCTACTTGTGTCTCGCTCTGCAGGACAGAATAACTCCTGTTTTTGATGACAGTTAAAATGGATTTGGTTTAAACTTTGCGCCATGCATTTGCCCCAGGGCAAACATGCAGAACCTTTTTTGAGACTTTAAGTTTTTTGCTCGCCGTAAACAAAACTTTAATAATGGTTTATACTGGCAGCGTGCAATAATTATAACCCAATAAATTCTATAAATGCGTAATCGTTTAATTATCCATCTGGCTTTAATCAACAAGAAATAAGGAATGTGTGGAGTGTGTGTGTCACACACACACACAACCGCTTGGAGAATTTCAGCTGGACAAACGCCACTTCAGTCAAAAAAAAAAAAAAACCTGATGGCTTCCCCTGCCTGTGAGGTGAGCAATGGGTCAGGATGAAAGCAGCAGTTCAATACAACACCTGAGCAGGATGTGCACAGAGACTGAAAAGTAGCTCTGATTGCTTTTCACACACAAGACACACATGCAGCACTGCGAGGCATTCACGTGTTTAAGTGCAATGTGGGGAAAATTCACACTCCTGTAAAGGGGGGTGGGGGGTGGCATCACTTGGACAAAGTGTATGCGCAGTCATGGCAAAAACGCATTTCATCCTATTAATTTTCTATTACTGCCTTCGAAGCTAAACAACAGTGAGACTTGTGAATTATGCAGCTATTACAGCGTTGTGCGTAAATGACTTGTGCAAGACAGCAGCCGTGTACGGAGGCACTGTGTGCTGTCTGTAGCCTACATTGCATGTTTTTATTTTTTGTTTTTGTTTTGTTTTGTCGTCGTCCACTGCAAACATGCGTGCAGATGTGAAGGCACAGCAGCAGCAGCACCTCGGTGTGTTGCAGCAGCAGCAGCTAGCATAGCTTTAATATCACGGTGCCGCCGTTAATTGTACATGATGCGGTCTCCTGAGCAGACCTTCACTGGGTAAAGCTGAGGCACCATAACAGCCATAAATCCCACACAAGTGCTGCACACAAGCGAGCTCGTTTTGACAGCGTCCACACACACACACATTTAACCATTCATGTCATTAATTTAAATTTTTATTTCTTATTATTTTTTTATACCGGTGAGTCCTGACGTCTGCCGCCGCTCCGGAGGATTACCAGTCTAATATTATATAAACACAACCGGAACCCAAATCACATTAGCATGTTTGAGCCACTGCAGCCCCCCCAAAAATAACACAGAAAAAAAAAAAAAAAAAAAAAACAGAAACTACAAATCTATAATATAGACCACAACATGATGACTATGATGATGAAAGACAGATGGGTTCTGGCTGAGTAACTGTATACAAAAAAAAAAAAAAAAAAAAAGGCTACTCACGGTTTGGCGGTGACGGAAAGTTGGGACGCGGAAATCTTCACCGCCGCTTGAAAATGAAAACACGGAGGTCTGTTTTCCTCCGTGTCGTCGCTGGTGTGGAAGAAAAGCGAACACGGGCTCAGAGCGGTTGTACGGTCGCATGTACTGCAGTGTTCACAGCCTGCTGTCGGGCCGCCCCTTCTTCGGCTTCGCCTTTTGCTCGTCGTCGCTCCGAACGAACGCTGCGTTTACTGCCCCCGAGCGGTGCGGAGCCGCCACCGCCGCAGCAGCCACCGCCACCGGGTCGGACAGAGCTTCAAACACTGCCGACAAGCTGCCGTCAGTGGAATGAACCGCTGCTCAGGACCCGCAAAATAATAATAATAAAAAAAAAACACGCAGACGCCGAATAAAATGAAACCAAAGAGTCAAGGTGAAACAACGAAGCATGAGGGGTTCAAGGACATCCGTTCAAAACACCTTCACTGACAGCCGGAGACATGTGGGGGGGAAACCGGAAAAACCTGCGGAACAACATCTATGTTCTTATATGTTTACATGAAAATATGTGAATGATAGTATAAAATATAAAATAAACACACTTAAAGGGTAATTAAATCACCACAGACTAAGATTTTTTTTTTTTTTTTTTTGTAGATTCAATTTAATTCAATTCCATTCAATTCAAATGACTTTTTTTTTTTATCCCTGAGGCACAATTCAAAAGTTCACTGAGTATGTAAAATAAAAACACTTTTTAAAAAAAAATCAACAACCAAAAACAATAAACCACATCAGATGGTTTAATTAAAGCCATTTATTTTAGAATTGATAATCCCAGGACAAAAGTGATAACGTCACTATAACACTATTATGTTTATAATTAAATTCCTGACACTAAAATGTAACTTTAACCATTCACCAGATGATTAGCAGATGCTAGCTAAGAATTCAAGCTAGCCAGCTAGCTACTGTTACAGCAAGCAAATGTAGCATAATGGTTTTAGCATAGCATAAATTTAGCCTTTCAGACAGATTATATTCCGTTTTTGTTTGTTTTTTTTTTTTATTTTTTTTGCTGGTTAGATATTATGTCACTGTATTACATAATGGTGTCTAATATTTATCAGAAATCTAGGCTAGAGGCCTCAAAAGTCAGACTCTTACACATTATTTAAAATAGATTTATTTTTCTAATAAGTTCCCAGAATGTCCTTCACACAGATATGTTAATTTTCTCCAAACACATTCTTCTTAAAACATTTGCCACACTGAGAACGTCCTTCCTTTGTTATCTTGTAGCACTGTGAGATTCTGTTATAGAATAATGATGTCCTATTATGTGTTTCCTCAACAACATCCCCCCAAAACATCCTCAGACTAACGCAGGACAAATGTTGGATCTCAGTTAATTTTTTGCATAACAGGAATGTTGGATGACAAACATTCTGTTGTGAGGCCTTGATGACATCTTGAAGGGTTTGAGAATGTTCTTCATCATGTTACATAATATGACAACCCTGACAACATCCAAAATGCGCGACAAATTTAGAGTCAACAAAATTTTAAGTATCGTGCCAAAATAATTATTTTTACAAAATAGCAGTGTGTACCACTGTGGGAACGTTTTATAGATACTATGATGTGTTCCCTCAACAGCATCCCCAACACGTCCTCAGAATACTGCAGGGAAAATGTTTTCTTCTAAGATATCAATTTAAAGGTAGAACATTTTTTATATCATTGGATGTCTCGATAACATAATGAAAACGTTTTGTTGGAATGTTGCTTTGACATTATTCCTACTTTGTTATCATGGAACATAATCTGTGGCCCTGACTACATCCTGAAAACATCCTCTGAATGTTGCAGTTAAAACATTTTGTCTCAGTTGACCTTTAACCCGACAAGGACATTGTTTGAAATAATAAATATCTACATAATGTTATGTAAATAATAAACTGAAAGCCTCTCAGAATCCTGCTGGTGAGCCTAAAAGGCAGTTGTTGTTGTTGTTTTTAATCGCCCGCATTACATCGTTCATAAGAGTTAAACATTTTTTAAAAACTGAATTAGTTGTCAGATTTTCAATGGTCTGTCAATCCTTGAACGAACAATGTGTGTGACATTTTATTAAAATTAACCAAATCTCAGCTTGACATAAAAAAAAATAATGTGTTTCCATTAACTGTTGTCTGTATGCTGTGCAGTGCAACCAAACAGCCACGATTGACTCGACTGCAACCAATCGTCTGGATGCAAGAAATCATTTATGCAGAACAGGAGGCTGTGTTTATACAGACTAGAAAGAAGACAAGAATGGAAGCAAATGAAAAATATGGTTATATTTTTACTGCACAAAAAACATTCTGAGTTCTCTTTTATCTCCAGCCGTGGCTGTGTGGTTTCCAAAGAGGTGCAGGACTTTCTGTTGCAGTCGAAAATGAATCCACATTGAGTAAAAATGTGACAAAAACACCAAAAACATCCAGAAAGGGCATGGTTTCAGGGGATAAAATCTTTTCTTTAAAACAATGGTAGAACTTGTAAATGAGTTTAGCCAGTGTGGTGTGAATGTTCCCTGATAGGTTGTGTGCCAAAATC